TTTCAACAAGATCAGCATTCTCTAACCAGTATTCCATTGCGCCCTCAGCATTGTGACGCCGTCGGAATCTCTCAGCTCCTCCGGGTGCCACTTTTCCAGCCATGTGCTTTAGCAAATGATCTAGCAGACCCGTATCACCGATATACTTTCGTGCTTCTGACCTTAAATCTGGCCTCAATATTGGGTTCCCATACACAGCTCTTTTCTCTTTCATAACCTTCAACATGTTCTCCTCTGCCAGCATATACCTTCCTCATGTGCAAGGAACAAAGCAATTTATAATTGTTGAACCATGCAAGACAACACTGAAATGAATACTATACTAGCTTTAAGCTAATAATATTATCATTTGGATACAAATAACTGTATACCTCTCAGCAGACCATCTTCCAATAGAGATTTTCCGCTTGTTTTTGTTGTAAACCACGAGTTGCTGCTTCTTGGGGTCATTCTTTGCTTTCTTAGATTTTTTAACCCCACTGCTACTCAAATTTTGATGATTTTGCCTACATTGACGCGTCATCCTCAAAACCTCAAAAGAATCTGCCTTGCTTGCCTCCATTTCTTCTTCTCCTTTCTTCCTTTTCTTCTCACTAGTTCCTTCTCTGAGTTTAACACTGATCATTTTCTCGTTACACAGTTCCGGTAAAGATTCAACCTTTGGCTCTTCATGACGGCCCAAGAACCGAACTTGCCGGCGTTTGCCCCACTGCATCATCCCTGTGAACTTGAGCTGAGTCCAGCAAGAACCCTGCTTGGAAATGAGGCTCCTTGCGGCATCAATGAGAGCTGGATTCTCAGAGTCTTGGGTGTTTTCTTTGGAGGGAGAGACCCAGAAGCTCCATGAGTTTCTTCTTTGTGCAAATTCCTCCGTTGGGATGCTCCTAGAAAGCGCTTTGGTGGCGAAGTCCATCCCCATCACGTACTTCTCGTCGAGTGGAGGGATCGTCTTCCCGTCCGGTTTTCCAAAGTTTTGGTCGCTGAAATGCATACGAAGTGATTGGAGGCTTGGGTACCTTAGCGACACCAGTTGCTCCCCTACGTCACTGACCTAATGAATGCACGCATTATCCATTAAACCAAAGATAATGTTTTTGAATATCTCTGTTCAATGTTCAAAAGAAGCTCTCTTTTTATACACGTATTTAGTAATACCATTACAATGCGAACAGATTTTAGTTGCACTGGCGAAATTGGTGAGAGCCTGGAATGATCAATTTCATGAAACAGACCCACTTTAAAATGCTCTGAAGGTCCTGCGATGCCAACAGTTTTTACCAAGTGCCATTGGAAAAGATATAGAGATGAAAGGAGGTAATAGGTTATATATATATATATATGGTGAAGAATATATATTTATATAACAATACAAATATACAAACAAAGCAAAACAATCGGCTATTATTGTTTTATTTATTTCTTACCTTTTATATAACAAATTGGAGGCCGTTATTGAAAACAATGAAAGAGAAAGATAATTCCCTTCCAATTTAAAAGTTACCAAAAGTTTAAATATGGCCACTCAAATTCAGGTTACCTATAGCACTAGTTGATTCAGAGGCAGGAGGAAACAGCAGAACATGTTTGTCCAAACATGGGCTCCTTTTGGTTCTGCCCTCGTCGACGTGGACATCGCTCTTTTCCTGCGCATTCAAATACGAATCCTTCTACAAAACCATAAAAAATAATCAACTATAATCTCTAAAATCCATTAGAATCATATATTAAAAAAGTTGTCGCATAATAACTGAATAAATCTAAATAATGCTCTTCTTTATTATGAGAAATTATTATATACATAGTTCCGACCAATCTTTATTTTATGTTATGCAGATAAACAATTATCTATGTTATATCTTAATACGATACTACTACTAAATAAGTGCAGGAAAGAGAAAATGTACGTCCGTATGAAAGAAGTGAATGTAATAATTTATCTTAACAACGCTGCTTTGCGTGCGTGCGTGCGGCGATATTGTTCGTTAAGCACACAGGATCCCATAAGGATCGCGTAGCGTTGGAAAGAGACTTATGCGAGTATATATATTTAACAGAAAAAATGCGCGCGCGTGTTATAATTTGTGACCGTGAATGGGTAGGAAAGAAAGAGACCATATCTTCATCTGTTGCAGCAGCAACGAAATCACACGGACTTTGCTCCACAATCTGCACAGTGCACAGGAACAACATTATTAAGTAAATATATAACAATTAATTTCACTTCATCAAATAAATAAAACAAAGCATCGACAATTAAGCTAAGACAGACTTTTGGCCAAAAATTAAGAATAACTAAAGCTTCAAAAAAACAAATTAACAAACACGTAAACACTTGTAGACAATTAATTAATTGTATCAGAGAAACAAAAGAAAAGTACCATTTATGTTAAATGAATTAATGTGATCAACGTGAAAATATCAATCAATCAGTTCTTAAAATAGCAAAGAATTAAATGAGCTAGGTTTCTCAGTGTTTGACCAGTGAATGTCGCTTTGTTGCTTCATTAAGCAACATTCAATTCAATTAATGAAACTAGAAGGTACTGATCGTTCTGAAGTAGCAAAACGAACACTAAAATTCTTGGAAACAAATTAAATTTGTCGGAAAAATAACTCCGATTGCTTTTGGCGTTTCAATTTTGATAACGAACCAATTAAAAAGACGATTCACGTTGTTTCTCTAGCGAAATCAAAACAAGCAACGATCGATCAATGTTGATAACGATCAACACTCACGTCGCTTTCAGCATTTGAAATTTAACTAACTAGAAACACTAACACCATTCTTCTCACAAATAAAAACAATTGACGATCAATGCAGCGGTTCAGTATTTTTTTCACTGATCAATCTACTCACTGGTTGGATCGTCATCTTTATCTGCTCCATAGTAGAAAATGCCAATGCGAAAATGATGCTCGGAGCGATCCGAGAAGATGATCGATGAATAATTGAAAGAGAAAAAAAAAATTAAAGAATGCGAAGAAGAATCGATGATAGTTGGAGCATTAGCATTCTTCAGTGAGGTTTTGGCTTTGCCTGAAAGTGGATTTGAAGAACATTTTCTTGTGTTTGTTTCGCGAGAAACAAATATATATATATATATATATATATATATATATATATATATATATATAAATAAATTGTTGGAAGAGAAAATTTGTGGAGCGAAAATTTGTTACGCGTGTGAACGGATTAGCTGAAGCATTTTCGATGCACGCATGTAAGGAGAGCAAGGAAGTATGATGATTACGATTCTCGGTGAAAATACGGTAATATCCCTAAGGCCCCTTGCATAGTTCTTGTGAAACATGGTTGTTTTAATGAGTGAAGAGCGAATAGCATTTTGACACGTAGTCAGAAATATTGTAACAGTGTTAAAAACTTTGAATGCATAAGCGTGATTGGTCCGTAAAGTTCACACGTTCTTAACCTGCGTTGCTCTGTTATATTACTGTTAATTTGCGAACACTTGCAGGGAAATAACACAACCTAATTTTTAATATTGTTTAAATAATTGTCACAAGTGAAATAACGTTAAGAGATACAAGTTTTTACTCATATTTAAAAATATTGTTTTTATAATTGTCCTATAATTGTGTAAAATGTTGATGGTTATTATGTTACGATAAATATTTTCCCAAACATAAAGAGAAAAATATTTTTAAATTAAAATTATGTAGAAATTAAAAATATTTTTTTAAAAATATAAAAGAAAACTTCTATAACTTAATTTATATATCAACAATTTTTTATTTATAAAAAGGTACTCACTTATTTTTTTTATAATTATTTATAAAAAGTTTGTGGAAAAATGTTTATTTGTTGTTTGTTAACTGATAGCATATTAAATTATTGAATTGTAAGTTGCCTAATTTATGCTTTTCCTCTATTTGTTTATATTTAAATTGAACTAGTAGACCAAACTAGTGAATTAGTGAGATAATTAAGTTTAGAATTATGATATATGTTGGTAATTAGATATAGAATATACATCTAATTAATAACCAATTTTATTAATATAATAATTATTATAATTATAATATTATGTAATACTAATAAAATGAGTGGTTAACTAAATATTTCATATTCAATTATGAAACAATAATTTTTCTTAATTAAAAAAAAATCGATTTATATAAAAATTGTTCAAATAATGATTTAATATCAATTAAATAAATTTAAACATGATTTTAAAAGATAAAATGTTTATATAACTTTCAAAACAAAATGTTAAACGACATTAAATAAATAATTTATAACTCATAAAAATTATGAATAACCAGTCAGTACAAGTTTTTACATAATATGTTAAATTGTTGGTATATATGTGAAAATACTAAATAAAGTAATAAAACTTCATATATATATATATATATATATATTAGTTAATTTTGTTATACAAAATATAAACTACTTATTTTATTTAAGCATTTTTCTGTTTAGAGTGTTTGCTCCAACTTTTTCATTTTTGTTTAAAAATGGCCTGACGAGGATGTCAAATTTATTTTTGCCAGACCTTGTTAGTAAATGATCGACATGTATCTTGGATTTGGGTCAATCATAGTGAAAAAAAATAATAATCTACCTGAATTTTCTACACTAAAATATCATAATTTAAAGGAAAAAAATTATTCGACGCCCCTGAATCATATACAGTAATTATTTTTTATTGTATACAGTATTGCATAAACCTTATTATTTATCAGTTGATTTTACCTTGATCGTTTGGATAGAATTGGATAGAATATTATTAAAAGGAAATAAATTATTAAAATATTAATTAATATTTAATCTTTGATTACACAATTACTAATTTAATTTTTACTCACTCTCAACCAATCACTACATAAACCTTTTATTAAGAAAAAAAAGTAACAGGATGGTATTCAGCAAACACGTTTACCTAACCAAAACGCCACCGTCTCCATTCGTCTCAGAAGCTTCGAAACGCTGCCGTTTCTATTCACGTCTCGGAGTTTCGACACGTCACCGTTTCCATTCAAGTCTTGGAAGCTTCGAGATCCGCGGCTTTCTGGAGGAGACTATTGGGATCGTCTTCGAGGACCATGCTGATGGGGAAGGAGCCGAGGCCGTCGGCGATGGCGAGCATGATCTTCTTCATCTCCTCGTGGAACTCACGGCGGTCCACAGTGCCGTTCTGGTCGCCGTCGAACTTGTCGAAGATGGAGTCGTAGAACGCGGTAAGCTGGTCCGGCGGCGTGGCCACGTCGATGCCGAAGTGCGTCTCGATGAGGCGCATGGATTCGAACGCAGTGCGGAGCTCCGACCGCGACAGGACGCCATCGTTGTTGAGGTCCAGCGCCGCGAACTGCTCGTCGACGCCCTTGGTGAACGCGTCGTCGTCGTTGACGAAGTCGCGCACGGTGGTGCCGTCGATTATCACAACGCCCATTCTGTTCTCTCCGGCTTTCTCAGTGTCTTAATTGATATCTCTGATCTGAAGATTGTTGAGGATTGAAGATTTGAGTCCTCTTTGGAAAGTTAGGGTTATTGATATTTTGTAGCAATTGGAAGACGCTGGGAAAGGGTGGCCATTGGATTCTGTGTCGTCAGTGCCTGATTTTTTATGAAAATCTATGGACGAAGTTTGATTTTATGACTACGAGATTTGAAAAAATTTGTACGGATAGACGTCTTTTTAGTAAAAAACAAAAACAAATACTTATCTATTAATAAACCTTTTCTTACCAATACTTATTTTTAGGGTTTAGCATAAATTATATATATTATGTGTTTTTACCTAATATATATATAAATTTAGGCATTAAAATACTTCATGTATATTAAAATTTTATTTCGACCTATAGGCCCGCAAGCATGCATAAAAAACCATCTAAAAAAAATAGGTGTGAGTCGATCCAACATCGACCTATCAATTTTAACTTGTGAGAGTTACTTGACTCACATAAAAAATATCTTTTTAATATAACCCGATTTAAATATGTGTTGAGTTGTTAAGGAGTTGACCATAATTTATACGAATGGACTCGTTAAAATCAATTAATTCAATTGAAATTCATTTGGTTAATTGATTATTTTCATATCCATTAACAATTCTCAACTTCTACATACTACAAGAAGAAGAAAAAAAACTTGTAATTGTGGACGGTTTTATCAATGGACATGTTTTATTATTAATGAAACTCAAATATGTTTTTATTACAGATATTTAGTCTACTGAGATGTTAAATTGTAAGATCTGGGCTAGAAGTTAATTTTTGTGTGTCAATGTTCTGAGGAGCTCGTCTTCTTCTGTTGTGAGTCATTTTGAAGAATAAAGTACTTTTGAGCATATAACTAAGGAGCCCCAGTTGCAGTTTTTTGTTTGATGATGGTGTTTTTTGTTTTGTGCGAAAAATATAAGAAAAAACTAAGTTTAGTTTGATTTTCAAAATGATAATTTACTTTAATAAAAATACTACGTTAATACTTTCTTGCACAGAATGGATGAACTAAGTTCTCTAACGACACATGAACTGGGTTTAGGGTTTGTTAGGTGTTGGGTTGTTCGACAACATTGGAAGACCATTGGACAACCTAGGAGTAACATTCGAAGACGTTCACTCTAACATTTTAAACTATTCTCATTTACCTCTCTTTTGAAACGTTGTTTGAAAAGTTTCTTTTGTTTTTCTATCCCAAAACAATCTATATCTCTCACTTTTTTCACATGTAAACAACCATCGTTTTTCAAAGTTTCTTACTATTTCTTTCTTGATCTTAAAATAATCTCCAAAACCTACTTTTAGTTCTTATTTCAACCACTTGAATGCTTCTAAATACAACAATGTTCAATTTTGTTATGAACAAGTGCAAGACTTTTTCACAAGAGGCTAAAAAAGAATGAAGGAAGCCTTGTAATAAAGAACATGAAGTCAGTAAAAGGGCCATATGATATCATGTTTTCTTGCCACTTGTCATCCACACATGCCACAGAAGCCACTATAGTCCCTATGAATCATTCGCCATAGTGGGTTGGTGAAGTGACGCACTAAGTTAACATACACTTTTCTAGTTTTGTCCACACCATTTTTCTCTTGCTTCCACACTTTCCAGAGTATTTAAGTACTTCAATTACTACACTCACTAAGCCACTACTTTCCTGTTCCTCCCTCACCAGATTTTCTCAACTCTGAAGAAAATGTGGTACAAGAACACAAAAGCCCTGGCACAGTTGATGTTGGTAGGAACAGTGATGGTTGGCATGGCAATGGGAGATTCATCGAAGGACAAGGAGGAATGCACAGAGCAGTTGGCAGGGCTAGCAACATGTTTGCCCTATGTTGGGGGCCAAGCACAAGCTCCAACCCCAGATTGTTGCAGTGGTCTCAAACAAGTGCTGAAGAACAAGAAAAAGTGTTTGTGTGTAATAATCAAAGATCGCAATGATCCTGATCTTGGTGGTTTGCAGATTAATGTCACTTTGGCTTTGAACCTCCCCACTGCTTGCAATTCCCCAGTCAATGTGTCCAAGTGTCCCGGTAACATTTTATTTCTTTTCATTTTACTTATAAAGAGTTATATATTTTTTAATTAACAAAAATTCCAAATATATTTTTTTAACTCACACAAATCAATGTTCAATTGAAAGCAGAGCTGTTGCAGATGGATCCCAAATCACCAGAGGCACAAGTGTTTTATCAGCTGGAGAAAGGCTCCACAAAAAATGGCACAAGTCCTGCACCAACTCCTTCAGGTAATGAAATTGACATCAAACTTTATACTAAATTAAGAATACGACTTCATATTAAATTAATGATATGTTTGTATAAACTTTTTCCTCACAATTTTTAAAAGATCATTTTTTTTCTCACTTAAAAAGTCAAAAAAATTGTTTGATTATTATTATTATGCAGCTAAAGTTGGGGCAAATCCTTCAAGCAACCAGACAGCCACTACACAGAACAATGATGCATTCTGCAAAGACAATAGAATTTTTGGATTAAATGTTTTGGCTATTGCACTTCAAGTTTGGGCTTTAATTGGGCTTTTCTGCTAAGTTTTGTTCACTTGTCTCTTCCATTTCCCTGTCTCTGGTGTTATTACTTACTACAAAAATATGCTAAGTATGGTGTAATTGTTTTTCTCCCCAGATTATTGTAAAAGTTGTGAGAAAAAGTATGAAAAATATAAAATTCATGTTAATGAGAATACAGTTTTTTTCTAATATATATATATATATATATATATATATATATATATATATATATATATATATATATATATATATATATATATATAAGACTATTTTTTTCTGACAAGCCTCCATGAACAGTCTATAGAAAAAAAAGAATAAATAAATAAAATATAATTAGTTTCTTCATAAATTAAGTTTATTTTATGGATAATTTTAAAAAAAAAATAGAGAGAGTTTCTATAACATAACTTGTGTATAAGACAATTTAAAAAATATATATAGTTCTCTTATTTAACAATATAGTTCGTGTATAACTTTTATCACTTAAAATACATTTTAAAAACACCTATTTAAAAAAATATATGAAAATTTCTTATTAGAAAAAAAAAACTGATTAAACAAACACATAAAAAAACTGAGATCTGTTTTTTTTTTTTTTTATTATTATTATTATTATTATTATTATTATTATTATTATAAAGGCCTTGTTCTCTTTAAAAAAATAAGTAAAAAATCAAACAATAATAATGATAATTTTAAAAAAATCTGGATTTATGACTATTTTGTAATTGAGTCTTCTATAAAAACGAAAATCTTCTATCATAATTAAATTATTTATTATAAATTAAAAAAAGTGTATATACTAAATTTTGATTATAACATAATTTGCATATTTAAAAATATTATTTTATTAGAAATTTAATTATATAATTAAAAAACTCATATCTTATTGTGCACCAATTGTAATAAATAATAGTTGCTTTAAATAGAGGAACTTAAGTTTCCCAAATTAGGACAAACATTAGGGTATATCTGAGGTTTGTCTTCACTGTATAGGATTCCCAAATTATATTGGCAAGACATGTTCGTGTATCAAATGCATGAAATTGGAGTGACATATGGATATTTACATATTTGGAACAGAGTTGAATTTGTGGTTTAGATTCTTGTTTCTGACATGGGTTAAATTGTGGGGCCATGTACCAATTCAAGTCCAAAGTTTCAACTTGAAACTAAAATACAAAAAAAAAAAAAAAAATTAAAATACATTCTTCATTCAAATTAAAGGCGCACAAGAAACATTAATTGAAAAAAAAAAACGTTATTACGTATTTTTACCTTTCAAAATTAAAATACATTCTTAATTCAAATTAAAGGCGCACAAGAAACATTAATTGAAAAAAAAATCGTTATTACGTATTTTTACCTTTCAAAACTATATTTAGTAGGGACCTTCATTAATTTAGGGTCAAATCATATATTTTTAATAAATATAAAAGGATAATCATATATTTTTAATAAATATAAAAGGATAAAAAAATGATAAAATGATAAAGTTATAAATATATAAATAAATATATTAAATAATTATTAAATTTTATCTAAAATTATAAATTATATAAAAATTATAAAATTAAAAAAAATAAAATAAAATTATAAATATATTAAATAATTATTAAATTTAAGAATTAAAATAATAAATTATATAGAAATTTCAAAATTTAGAAGTGCATCATCCACAATTAAAAAAAAAAAACTTGCTAACTATCTTTATTTATAAATTTTACACTTCAAACTTCAATTGATTTTACTATATTTTTTTTCACATATTTTGATTAACATTCATGCATTTTTTAAAAATAAATATTAAAATATATAATTTGAAATCACTTGTGTAAGTTTCAAAAGCTAGTGTTTAGTATTTTATATTTACAATAAGTAATTAACATAGTGTTTTTCTCAATCTTTTATAATAATAGATAATCATAATTACAAAATTTAATATTGGATTTATTTTTGTAATAAACGCAACTTAAGATAAGAATTTGTTGAAGTAAAATTAATTCTTAATGTAATACATAATCACATTTAATGTTCTTCACTCATGTATTTTTTAGAAAACATATTTACGTAATGTTACTCAAGGGTTCTGTAATTAAAACAATGATCCTCTTTCCAACAAGTTTATTAAATTAAAAAAAAATCTCTAACATAAAATTATTTTTCTATAAATTAAAGTTAACTTATGAAAAAAAATTATAAAATTGTTCTTATAACTTTTGCAAAGATATAATTACATATGAAGCCTGCAAACAATTAATATAACATCTCTTAAATGCTGTGCATGCATGGGCAAACTCTAATACGTGTCTGGGGCTGTGTAGCAAGCAATTCTGCAACTGTTAGCCATGCAAGGAACCGTGACCAAAGAAATATGACAGTGAGGCTGAAACAAGTTTGGAATCTGTGGTCAGTGCCGAATGAACCCCCACTGAAAGTGTAACACTTGACATGCATTATGCAGAAGATTGTGATGGAAGATAGAAAAAATGGCAGAGGAGGTCCACCTCAGGTGCACAATCCGATTATAGCTGACCCAATGCATGTTCATTCCACACTATTGATCTTGTGTCGTGTTGTTTTGATGCCACCAACTCTACTATACATGCCTTGGGAGCAATGATTTGATTCATGATATGCAAGAAATTATATTAGGGTTTTTTTGTTCTTTTAAGAATTTCTACATTTTCTCACTGTATGGTTTTTTAAAATATTAGGTTTAAATTCATCTTTCAAGTATAATGATAGAGTTTTTAATTTACACAGATTTCTCTTTAAATAAATTCTAAAAAAATATTTTTTTTTAATTTTAAATTAATTTATAAACAAATAAAAAAAATAGAAAATTATATGAGATGATTTTTGTAATTTAATTTTAATTCATAAAAATATTAATTACTTTTTCTTATTTTTCTTTTTAAATATATATATATATATATATATATATATATGTATATTTAATAATTTTGTATTCAGTTAATTAATTATCATAGATAATATGTGACATTATTGTCAATTAAAATAATATTTATATAAAAAAGCTTGTACTTTAAAACCAAATAAAGTAATTATCAAATAATAAATATTTAAAGTGTATATTCTTTAATTAATATGACTATTGCTAATAAAGTAATTTGTCATTATATTCATTGATGGGAATACATAATTTTATCTCAATGTTTAAAAAAAATACTATATTATTTATTTTGATTCTTAATCTTTAAAGTATTAAAATTAAAAGCAAAGTGGTTTTAATGGATAAATTGAAATTTAGATATTTTAATTTTTTTTTCCCTCTTCTTATTCAAGCACAATATTCTCATAGTCACCACTACTATAGTCTTGTTGCAAAATATAATTTTCTCTTTGAATTATAAAACTCTTGAATGTAAACTTAATTTTAAGAATAATTTTATGGAAATAAATTTGATTAACCTTTTTAGAAAAAAAATTAACAATTTTTTTATTTTCGTAAACTTTACCTTTATCATTCGAAATGCTGCAACTAAACTTTATAGGTTGCTATTGAAATCTTCATTTTATAATCATATAGTTTTTTAAAAAATATATTATTTTTCTGTTTAATTTTTTTTCATCTAAAGATATTAAAATCAAATATTAAAATAAAAGAACATAAGGATATATATTTGATAAAACTAGTTGATGAAAAAAAGTAATACTTATAATTGTTCGGTAAGTTACTAGTTAAAGTAAGTTATAACTGAATTAGATAAAACATATTTTATTTATTGCTAAAGAAAATATTATTTTATTTTACTTCATATTGTATTTAATATTAATCTTAGGTTATATATCACAATATTTTTATTTTAGTTTAAAATAAATTAAAAATATTGAAATTTTAATTAATCATAAAATATTTAAATAAATAAAAAATAGAGTTAAATGCACAATATAAAAAAATATATTAACATACAGTCCTGAAATAGAAAAATAATTATTATAAACAATATAATAACAAATTTATTTTTAAAATATCTAAATAATAGTATACTTGGTTTCTATCATTATTTATTTTATTTAGTATAATATAAACAAAATTATTTTTTTTTATCTTTGTATAAAAAAAATCCATGAGTGAATAAAAAAATAAAATAAGGTTTTATATAAAAAGAATAGAAACTTAATAAAAATGAAAAAACTATGTTACCCTGTAACCACTTCTAACTTATCTTTAACCGTGCCAAAGAAAGAGAAAAAAAAAAACATTTTTTTGTTTTATTTTAGGTAAGCAAAAACAACATTAGTCAATATTATAAAAGTAAAAAAAAAATTTAAGTATAATTTGTATTTAATTTTATTTATTTTGTGGGTTTAGCTTCTGTATAAGTTGAAAAGGGGGAGGGAGCATCGTTGTTCACCCGCCGCCTGAACCAAAACGAGAAGAGTGGCTGCAGAGAGGGAAAGAAAAAGGGTTCGACCAAGATACATTACGCATTCATTCCCATCAAACCCACACTAAAACTCAAACCTTTTCTTTCTCTTTCCTCTCTCTCACATTCCTTCTCAACACTTCCCCATTCTCTTCCCTGATTCAGATTCCAACCCTTCAAATTTTCTCCATCAATACCCGCTTTTTTTTTTCTTCTCCGCTAAGCAAAGGAAAAAAAAAAAAACCCTTTCGATACCATCCTCATTGCCACCTAAGGTTTTCTCACACACCCATCTTCTCTTTGTGTGTTAAGTTTCGGTCTTTGTCACTATTTTCGTCGTTTTTGTTTGCTTCTGCATGTGGGTGATGTCCGTGCAATGTCACTGCCGTGTGTGTATATTGTTATCTCATTCGCATTTTCGTGTAGTGTTTCTGTTGTTGTTGATGGTGGTGATGTCATTGTTTTTGGTAGTTTTTTGGCTAAGTGGTGGATCTTAGGAATGGTTAATTAATTCATTGAAACTGTTTTGTGTTTGAGTCTAACGTTGTTTTTGTGTTATGGTTTCTGACATGTATGGAGAGTTTGCATGTGGTGTAGGAGAAGCAGCAAAAGAGGGGTTTCGTTACAGAGAGAAGAATGAAGTACGTGTTGGTGACAGGTGGTGTTGTGAGTGGACTTGGGAAAGGAGTCACTGCTAGCAGTATTGGAGTGCTCCTTCAGGCCTGTGGCTTTCGCGTTACTTCTATCAAGATTGGTATGTTTTTTTTTTTTTTGGATTTAATTGTCACTTATTTCTTATAGAACATAGAAAAAATGGAATGAAGCTGGTTCTGCCGGTTGCATTTTTTGTTTGAAACAAGAGGGAATGAAATTGAACAGGATAGAATGATGTCATGATTCCATCTGATCGTTTGTTACAATTTACATGCATGTTTGTAAATTAACTATTATCATTACATTTTCATAAATAATAATTTTTCAGCTGTAACTAAGACAAGTGATTATCTATTCGAAGTAAGTTGAACATAACCGTAACCAATGATGGTGAATGACTATGTGAAGTTCCAGGGGGAACTGTGAGAGATTGCATTTTTATGTATCTATATGTTTGTTTTGATCCAATTCTAGTTGTGATTAAACTTATCTATTTCGTGCAGATCCCTATCTGAACACTGATGCAGGGACAATGTCTCCTTTTGAACATGGGGAAGTGTTTGTTTTAGATGATGGCGGTGAGGTAAATATATTACCTGACCCCTTTTTTATGCCATGATGCTAAGTACTCATTTATTTGTACCTAGTATTGTTGAATGACATGGTGTTGGCCATTATCATGTGAATATTCAATCTTGTTGTTGAATTCAGTTATAGTAAAAGAACAACCTTTTATTCATTTTTATTTTTCAATATGGGTGAAGGTTGACCTTGATCTTGGAAACTATGAACGTTTCCTGGACCTCAAATTAACTCGCGACAATAATATCACAACAGGAAAAATTTATCAGGTTGGTAAATTGTCTTTTTTTCTTTTAAAATGTCTTATGATTATAACTAGTTTATTTTTCTAGTTGTGTATGAATTCTTAATGTTTTGCTTTTGTTTTGAATGGTTTTTAGTCTGTAATTGCAAAGGAGAGAAGAGGAGACTATCTTGGGAAGACTGTGCAGGTACATCTAGTCATTTTGGGTTTACCTCCAAATATATTTGTTATGGGTTGAATCTGTCTTGGCTCTGATTTCATCTTTGGTGTACGGGTAGGTTGTTCCACACATTACTGATGCCATCCAAGAATGGATAGAGCGTGTGGCACAGATACCAGTTGATGGGAAAGAAGGCCCAGCTGATGTTTGTGTCATTGAGTTGGGTGGAACTATTGGTAAATTAATATTCTTATGTTTTTTTTTATTATTAAAGTAGAATTTGATTACCAATATATTTTAATTTTAATGTTAAAAATCATAGGTGGGATCAAACCAAAATTTCTTACTTTAAGTAGTGACTTTTGCAGTTCTATGAAAAATCTTGAACCTTTATATTATCAATGTTAATCAAATGACTCTTCTCTAATGTAGGGGATATTGAGTCTATGCCTTTTATTGAAGCACTTGGCCAATTTTCGTACCGTGTAGGTAATAATTGTCATGCCTGAGACCTCATATTCTACTGTATTATATTGAGTAATTGCTGTTGGGTGTACTTCAGCAAAGCATTCTTGCTTATCTTATTCTTTCCTTGTTTTAGGCCCCGGAAACTTCTGTTTAGTTCATGTCAGCCTGGTCCCTGTTCTCAATGTTGTTGGTGAACAGGTATAGTGCAAACTGTGTGCTCTCAGTGAAACATTTTTATTCATCCTTATTAGAAATAAACACGAAAAAGTATTTAGATTTGATATTAGATATATGTTGCACAGTTTATAAATAGATTGACACCGTCATTGCTTTGCAGAAAACAAAGCCAACTCAGCACAGTGTCCGCCAACTTAGAGGGTTAGGGTTAACCCCAAACCTTCTTGCTTGTCGCAGTTCAAAGGTCTGTCTATTGCTTTTTTGACTTTTCTTTTCATGTTGTTGGTTTTGCTTTGATTGAAGTATTTTTCTTTGTCCTTTACAGGAACTTGATGACAATGTTAAGGAAAAACTTTCTCAATTTTGTCATGTTCCGGTAATATGATACAAATGCTGACAATTTTCACCTTGTTATCTTTATACTCTTTCATACTCAAAGGAAATGTTTGCATGTGCAGTCATCAAACATACTTACTCTGTATGATGTTCCAAATATTTGGCACATTCCTTTGCTATTAAGAGTAAGTAATTCAATGGTATTTTATGAAATTGCTTTTTGTGGCTGTCTTTTGTTATTACTGGAACCCTGTTTTTGAAGTCTTAAATTGTTTAGCTTGTGGTTTACGTACCCTTTTTTCTAGACAGTTGAATCGCATTATTTTTCACGAAGCAACATGATTCATATAGTAATCAAATTTTCTCTTTTTGATACTCTTTTACTAATAGGACCAGAAAGCGCATGAGGCAATTCTGAAGACATTAAACCTGTGCGGGTTTGTCTTACAAACTCTTTTTTTTTTTGGTTTACATCTTCATCATACGATAGGTTGACGGCAGTTACCAAAAGCAGTTCTATGATTCCACTAATATTTATGGTCCTATTATTTGCAGTGTTGCTACAGAGCCCAATTTTAAGGAGTGGATTGCAACAACAAAAGTATATGAAAAATTTCATGAATCTGTGAGTTTCAATATTCCTGATGTAATATCATTCAAAAAACTTTTATATTCCATCAATATAGGAGTTTCAATATTTAACTCTGAGTAGTGGCTAGTACTGAGCTCACAACTAGTTTGTTCTTCACAGGTTAGAATTGCAATGGTAGGAAAATATACTAATCTATCAGATGCATATCTTTCTGTACTGAAGGTACGCAAAATTTGCCTGTGATATTTGCAGTATCTACTAAACTTTGTTCGGTCCATGAATTTGATTATATAGGCTCTACCAACTCAAAATATAAATTTGGTCCTGTGCAACCCCTACATTAGCTTTTATAAGAGTTTCGATCACTGTTTTATCAATTAGCTTTTGTATGAATTTTGTCCTGTTCAAACCCTACATTATATTTTATTAAGAGTTCAGTCTTTATCAATTTCGGTCCCGATTCTGTTATCTGTGGCATAGATGCACTTGTGGTGGCTGATCTGCATTAATTTAATCAGTAATGAAATGAGTATCTGTATTACCCTACAATTATGATGCATGGAAGCGTGGACCTGGTATACTAAAACATGAAGCTGCAGAACCTTGAGAAAATAAGGAAAAGTAGAAAAAGATGGCTAAAAGGAAGCATTAGATTCTCAGAAATTATAGGGAGTTGTAACATATGACTAATGGCAAATCATGAATTTCAAACACACAAGATATTGAATTACTTGTTCATTTGCTCGGCTTTCTTGTGCAACGCCATTCTTAATGTCAGTAGCAAAGTCAGTCATTATATTTACAGATTTCCTTCTGTAAAAGCATAAGGGAAGGGTTTTCATGTTAAATTTGTACTTTCCTGCATGGAATATGCTGTACTTCCTTATGACTAGATTTTACAGATGTACTCATTTGCCAATTGTCAATTTTTTTTTTTTTTTATTTATCTTTTCATATTAAAGGATGTAATATTTGTTGGGAGGATAAGCCAAGGAGTTGTTATTGCTCAAAATGCATATCCATAATGTAAGATTGATTTTGATGGTTTGGGCATGTATTGAATGTTATTTTTCTAGTCCAAGTGACTTTGTCCTTTTGTGCAGGCACTTATGCATGCTTCTGTTGCTTGCAATCGCAAGCTTGTTGTGGACTGGGTTCCTGCCGAAAATCTAGAAGATGATACATCTAAAGAGGTGACAGATCTTTCTATTTTTCTGCATGTCATTTAACTTTTTGGTTTCATTTCATACCAAATCTCTGATAATATATTTACTTCTTGCAGGATCCTGATGCATATAATACCGCTTGGGGTCTTCTGAAGGTATTTTCTGTGCTACCATTTGACTGTTTCAGACTAAATGCTTTTAATTTTGTGTGTCAATAAACATTGGAATGTAGATGTAGATTATCTTGAGATGTTACCTAAATGGACTTTTGTTGCAGGGTGCTAATGGGATTCTAGTTCCAGGAGGATTTGGTGATAGAGGAGTGCAAGGAAAAATTCTTGCTACTAAGTATGCTCGAGAAAATAGTGTTCCATTTCTAGGCATTTGCTTGGGGATGCAAATTGCTGTCATTGAATTTTCAAGATCTGTTCTTGGTCTTCATGATGCTAATAGCACAGAATTTGATCCCAAAACTAAAAACCCATGCGTCATATTTATGCCAGAAGTATATTTCCTGAAACACCCCTTTCACTATTCATTTTGTGATAATATTTTTCCTTGGAAAATTTAGGTAAGATGACTCGTAACTTTCTATTATATATATCTGTAGGGTTCAAAGACTCATATGGGGGGAACTATGCGTCTCGGTTCAAGGAGAACTTACTTTCATCTTGCTGACTGCAAATCGGCCAAGTTGTAAGGATTAAGAACTATTTCATGTGCTGTCATTTCCTGAGGGATAACAATGATAAAAATGCTCCACTCTAAAGTTTGTTTATGTGCAAAGTTTGATACATTCATTGTCACTTTGATATTAATAGTTTAATTCAGATGGTACCATATTGCTCTCTATCAAAAATTGATTTCATTTTTCTTAGGTATGGCAATGCACACTTCGTTGATGAGCGACATCGGCATCGATATGAGGTAAATGTGTTTGCATGCAGAAGTTTCCTTATGTGAAAGACAGATATTGAATCATGAACAATAATTGTCTTGCTTTGCAGGTTAATCCTGACATGATATCACAACTTGAGAGTGCCGGTCTGTGCTTTGTTGGCAAAGATGAAACAGGGAAGCGCATGGAGGTGTGTCTTTGATTAAAACCCTTATGGCATGAATCTTGAAATTGCCACATATTATTAAAACATATATTCCTTTCATAATTATGTGACTGAATGATACACAAATGCAGATAGTTGAGTTTCCTGGCCATCCTTTCTTCATTGGTGCTCAATTTCACCCTGAGTTTAAGTCCAGACCAGGGAAACCATCTCCATTATTCTTAGGTATATTGTCCAGAGTTACTTCCTGTTGACTTTGATTTAAACTTGAACATAAACGATTGATTTTTCCATCCAAATTTAAACTTAATGATTTTCCCATTGTTGAATTATCTATGGTGCATTTTGTGTGGAGGAGAGAGGAAGAGACATTCAATTAACTAAATGAATAATGCCTCATCGTGACAGGACTAATAACAGCAGCATGTGATAGGACAATTGTGCCTGCAAGCAAAGGGTTTGGCAAGCTAGCAAATGGGATACATAGTGCACACTCACCAATGTTGAAAGCACATAATGGAAATGGGATACATAGTTCCTTAAATGGTGTATATACAAGTACAACTGCGAATGGGGTGTGTGTGGATGGTAACTGTTAATCAACTGGGTTGTTTCTGCTTACAGATATGTGGGGTTTGATTTTCTCCAGTGACAATTTTGTCCACGGTTAGCTTGTACAGTTTTTAGTGGACTGAGTAGTTCATAAGGGGACTTCTCTCTCTCCAGCATATGAAGCAAATTTTGAGTCTTAACAGCTTTTATATTTCCAACCATATAAGCCAAAGTATGTGGATCATACTTGCTCACAATGAAATATCAAAACATGGTTGTAGCCTATGATTATTAATTTTCATAAGGCACCTTCATTTCCATTCTAGTTTTGTTCTGTAGTTTTTGAATGAATAATTGAGAGGGATGATCCTATGTTCCATGATTTATCATGTCACACTTTGGATTTCCTTAGGGAAAGAATAAAAGTTGAGCAAAATATTTGGTCTTAGTTATTGTATTTTATAATCCATGATTTGGTCTTGACATTTTTATGAAAAGGGTGTCTTTTCACGTTACATTTGGGATTACTGGTATTTTATTTTAGAAATGTGAAGACTAAATTTATAGATTTAAAGTACAGAGATTAACACCAATTCTGATACAAGTTTAAGACTAAAAGCTTATGATATTATCAACTCAGTCTTAAAAATAATTATGTTAAGAAGCAAAATCCACTCATAGGCAGTTGAATATAATTTCTAAATCTTAATGACATTTATCAATTATTTATAATTTCACAAATATTTAGATATTTTAATCAGTCATTTAAGTTTCTCTTTAATGAATAACAATTTTATGCAAATTCATTAGTACCCGTTTGACCCTAATTCTAATTTTTTTAAAAAGAAAAGCTCTAATTAACTTCAAGAAATTTTCAAATTAAAAGCACAGTTCGATTTAAAGAAACATTTATCTAGTCTGTGCGTATTTTAAAATACGAATTTGGTCCTCATATTTCTAAAAAATTGTGGAATTTGTTTTTAATGCCACGTGGCAGTCATGTATCAATTCTTAACCACGTCAATAAATAGGACCAATACCAAATCAATAAATTTAGAAACAATGGAGCAAAATTCATTAATTTAGAGCACAAAAAGAGAGATCAATTCAATAATCACAATTGTTAATTTACCAGCTATATCAAATCAGCAATTCAAGTAGGATATAAAGTTAAAAAAATGTTTCCATTTTTTTTATATAAACTTTTTAAGAATGAAGTGCATTTAGTTAAACAGAATTTGTAGCTAACCATTATAATAACAGAGTCACTCACACCAGTCAAAAAGAGAAATTAGTTACCAGAGGAAGCAAAACAGGTTTTCAGTCACGGCTATTCATAGCACTCAGAAATTAGTCACTAAAGGAAACAAAACGGGTCCACAGTCACAGCGATTCATATGAACTACAGAAGCAGAATTAAAGGGATCATCAAATACAGAGTGAAGTTTCATGCAAGAAGATCTCAACACGGCTCCGGAGCAAAAGTCTCATTTTAATAGTCTTCTGCTTCCCCTTCATTGGCTGATGTTCCTTGTGATTTTGCCATCTCCATAACTTCTCCAGGTGGTGGGTGGTCAAACTTGCACGTTGCACCAAACTTGCATGTTCCAGTTTTCAAATAATATGGACAGATAACAGCACCCTGTCAAGTAACAACACATCCATCATACATTGTTTAATATAACCTTGTCTTGATAGAAATTTTGAGGTTAGTTAAGAGGTTGTGCTTGGGAACATTGTTTATAAGATCGGTCATTGAGATTGACTTGATAGCCTCCCATCACATGCAATGTGCAACAATGCAAGTAACTTGAAATAGATTGAAACCAAAGACAAAGCCAAACTAATCATCATATCAATCTTACACTTTTTTGGAAATGCAGACTCATTATTAAAGAATTTAACAGAAAATGCAAATAAAGAAAAATTTGAAGTATATACCCGTGAAAAAGATCTAACATACCTCTCTTCTTGGTAATCCTGCAGGAGTGAGCTTGACAGAAGCCTGCTTTGACAGTGATGGTGCTGATCGATCAATTGGGTGATGATACTTGCATCTTTCCCCGAATTTACACTCGCCAGTTTTCATGTAAAACTACATGGCAAATCATTGAATAGATACGAATATCAGCAAATAAATAAGTTTACATGAACTTTTAATAATTATCTCTCAGAAATAATATAATTAAATCCAAATGTTAGATAACCATTAGTTGGTTACAATCAGTTGTTTGGTAAAATAGAATCAGCATTACGTGTATAAGAGAGGAGAGGAAGTTGGGGTCTTCAGCTTAGTTATTTAGATTGAGAATGAAACAGCTACAGCTCAGTTATATTTGACCTTATTTATGAACCAAAATGTGAGCTTACTAATAAGCAGACGGGGTGAACACTTAAAATTAGAGTGTAACTTCCAAGTCTGGTGCAATTTTTCAAAAAAAGTGAACTAATCCAACTGATCAAATTGTGTCCACTTTGTAACCAATTCACCTGTTTCAACACCCACTTTCCACATATTGGGTGTGGATGCTTGACAGGAAATCACATATTGTCGATGACATAAAAATCGTATTAAAAACATGCACTTAATTATCAAGGCTTTCCTTATCACTTCCTCGAAATCTCAATGTGTTCCTGCCCAGGCTATAAATTTCCATTTAAGTCCCTGTTAAGGTTCCAACATAAAACCAATTGGCAATATGTGGAGTAGCCTAACATGTATTTAAATCATACCAAATGACATGAGGTAGGCGATGTGGGACTTTCAACACACCCCCTCCAACAAAGCCTGCCGGACCAGGCAAAGGGTACTTTTGACCCAACTAAAGGGCAACTTTTGGCCCATGACAATAACCGGAAAGATGTTAGGCTTTGGCTCTGATACCATGTTAAGGTTCCAACATAAAACCAATTGACAATATGTGGAATAGCCTAACATGTATTTAAATCATACCAAATGACATGAGGTAGGCGATGTGGGACTTTCAACAATCCCCAACATTACTTGAATCTTATTCAAACCTACACACATTATCCAACAAATATTTTCTTTTTATTTCCAGCTAAGAAAGTCACATAATTATACTTTGTAGAATTCTTGATATAACCTATTTTATGGTATTACTATCAAGGTTACCCTACCTTAGTGTGTTTAAGTACACAGATAGATCTGAACTGAACCCTTAGCCCCTTGCATTTTTTTTAAATTTAATACTAAATGACCCAACAAATTAATGCTGACATGTAAATAATGCCAAATACATACTGGCAGTGGAAATCTAATCACTGAAACATAAGGCAAGTCTTTGCTTACATCACATTCAATCTGGCCTGGTCGCTGAGGATAGATAGTTTCTGCAATTCCCACCTGAGACTGGAAAACATGCCATATGCATAAGGTGCATTAGCTGTTGAGTAATTCATCTATGATGAAATCTCATGGAAATGCAGTTTAGAATTAATTTAAGAATGACTACTTTTCTAAGCCAATAACATACTTCTTCCTATTTGTTTTATTATTGTTAATATTATGAGTTGTTAAGAGCAAGTGTCAAACTTGCCCTCCTACATTATTGAGGCAAAACAGCAAAAGAGGCCTCACCACTATAGAACCCAAACATTTATTTTTCTAAGCGAAGCATATCATATTGCATATAATGTACTAGATGAGCAGCAGCATCTCAAAAAAAAACATTAGGCTAAAGAATTTTAGGAAACTAGGTAACAATGAAGAAAGTGAAGTTAACAAACTATGCAGAACAAACAGAAAATGAGACTTGAGGCAAAAGCAATAAGCATAAAAAAAAATGAAAGGCTCCACACATATATACAAAAAACACATGACAATAAGATCACAATATCTACAAGGATCAAGATATATAATTAGACAAGAGAAGAACCATGAGAGTCGCAAAAGTTGATAGAACACACGTACAAATAGCCTCATTTAACTACTTAATATTCATTAAGAATGGAAGATGTGCGCTCACAAATATTATCTAATGTGAGAATATAACTAAGAGAAATATTATTTTTACCGTGGTCACTTATCACCAGTACTTATTCATTCAAATCTATCAAGCAATGGCACAATGTTCCCTGTTTGACTGTATACTATATAGGAATGTTCTAACCATCTTTATTGCTTTTGTGAAATCTATGCGAATCTAAACTATAGTCCCATGCACTCTATGCCTGTGGCTTAACACAAATGTGTGTTGATTTGGTTGATAACCAGAAATATACAACACAATAAAGAAACTTAGCCAGAAGCACCCACAGCTTCATCCCCTACCCCACAATAATGAGCATCAGGAGTTGGATAACATTATTTGCGATTTGCATCAGTCAATTCTCCACGAGAATAAATACAATAATAACTGCCACATTACCATTTGACTTGACAGCCTTGGATCAAAAGCTTGATAAACAGACACAGCTGGACTAAGAAGTCCAATATTCAGACTAGCAGCTGAGGATGGCAAAATAGAAGGGCCTAATCCAGCAATGGGTGGATTAATTGCTGCATCAAAGGATGTTAGTGTGAAATAGTTGTTTAGAAAACAACTCAGGAAAATGTATGCAAACTCAATATATACATACCGTTCCTGTCAGGATGATTGTAGCGACAAGTGGCACCATACTTGCAACTGATTCATATGAATGAAAAAATTAAGGATATTTAATCCGAAGGACACATGTGCTTAGATTAGCTTATTTGGAGAAATAATGACCTTTTTGCAGTTTCATGAGAGCTATGGCAAAATAAATATTACTTTCTCTAAAATTATGAAACCAATAAAAAATAAACCATTAGTTACCTCCCAGTTTTCATGTAGAATGGACAATCCACTTCCCCCTGTCAGGAGAGAATTGTACAGTAAAAACACAGGCTTCAAATACAATGAAGGCAACAAATTAGCAGAGCAAAAGGTTGTCATAAGCTAGAAGCCTAGAAATCTACGGGTATCTCACAATATTCTAGGAACACAATCTATTCAATGTGCACCCTCTTCTACTGCTTAAAATTTACTGAATTATGAAATTAATGTTTCCGTAGCGTTTCTATAAGTTATAACTTCATATACCATCAAAGTAAAAAAATGAAGAAAACTTTAGTTATGCTGATTGTAGTCTAGCAGGAGACCAAGTTACAGAGCCAAATAAAACCAATCCAATTCAACAAGTTCAATATCATTATTTCCACTACAATTATTAATTCGGGTCAGCAGTTCAAAGCAGCATACATCCAGAAAATAATGGAACGAATTGGAAAAATCAAAAAATTTGAAAAGAACATGACACTAGATGAATTGGTCTATCTTTCCTTTGATCAACAGAGAACGAACACCAAAGGATTAAGAATTAATACCAGTCTTACTGGAAGCCCTTTGCTATTTTGCAATGATGGAGATATAAGAGACTTAATTGGCTGAGAATCTCCGGTTGCCCCTCCTATCATATAATTTGTTTGTGTCTGTCCAGCACTATGGCTCAAGTCGTCGGACAACTGAATCTGAATATCCTTGGGGTGATGGAATTTACAAGTAGCACCAAATTTACATTTTCCAGTTTTCATGTAGAACTGTATAAATATTAAAATATGAAGTTAGACATAAAGATAGATAAAGTCTCATGTTAATGGAAAATATAAATAACTAACCGTGCAAGGGGGTTCTGATGGCCTCTCAGGTAAGCCAGAAGATTCATCATCATTTTCAGAGGAAATTTTGGGATGATTAAATTTGCACTTTGAACCAAACTTGCATCTTTGAGTTTTCAGAAAGTACTGCAAAGTATTGGATTCAAATGAATTAGAAAATGCTCAAATACATATGAACAAAAAATAGGAAGGAGAAAAAACATTGCAAATTCTACTCACTGGACAATCTGGTTCCCCTGGTCTCTCAGGAGGAGCTTCACTTGTAACAACATTTGGAACCTAAATCACGTAATGAATCAACCATGTTCAACATTAACAAATAAGTACAAACCAAAATTTCTAGACAATAATATTTCACCTTTTGAGACAAACCCAATGCCAACAGAGACAAATAGATAAGATAAGAATGGTAAGAAACACAATATTTAACACACTACATGAGATAATTAGAAAAGTCATAGTAGCATACAAAATAGGCAGCCTGTGTAGGTTTCAAACACAAAATCTTTCCCATAACTATCCTAATTGTAGTAAAAGATCATTCTGATAAAGTTACACATACATGTTCGTAGATTAATTCATAGACAGATGCATATTAAGCTGCCAAAATTCCAATAAGTGAAACAATATCACCACCACAAATCCCAAATTAAAATCTTACATGCCAATTGGTACTCAGAAATCAGAATATGCTTGAATTTAGATGTAGAGAGTACCCACCACTGATATTCCACCACAGATATTACACGAATATCAGCTCAGAACAAGGATATAAAAAGTAAAATAAAGAAAGATAATGCAGCATTTGAGGGTAGTAACCTCCTTCGCAAAATTTAACACAATGCTTCTTTTCCTTCTCTACCAACACTCTTAACTAACAGCCTAACTATATCCCACTTGTTTCCCCTTTCTACCCACCATGTGCTCAAGGGACAATGTTATCAACCCATCTCATACTTTCCCTCATGTATCCTGCACATGAAGCCCAAGAAGAAAATATGCAGTAGATATTTTGAAGAAAAATCAGGAAACTAGCTCGTGTTGAGTTCCCCTTTTACACATATGTGGAGACTCCCACAGTCCACAAAACCCCAAATATGGTTGGCCACTATCAATTCCAGGAATTATCGAAGACACAAGTTGAAATTAAACATCATAGTTTTGTTAGCTCTCCCATAAACAAAGGGATTTTAATGAGGCAACCAAATATAAAGTGAGGTTGCTATTTTATTTTATTCAAAATAGAAAATGTGACCAAGAAACCATATCTTTACTAAGTATCTCAGGGGTCGTCATGTTAGATTTATATTAACGTTCATTCATATGATTTACATGCTCCAACATGTAATAAAAGCGTTGAAGTATTACAATTAACAATTAATTTTTCACATTATTAGAGTATATATGGTAATACAAGAATGATTGAACTGTAATATTTTGATAGTTTTTATTCTATTTAATAAATATTTGTACAGTGTTGCACACTGAAAACAAATAAATAGAAACTAAGAGTTTTTAATATAAATGTTACTAATATAAACATTGTTTGTGTTAAACGGTTGTAATACTCCACTGTTACAGTAGTCCATTATTACATTCATATGTTTAACTCTATAATACTGTACTTTACAATTATCAATAGCAAAAAGTACTATACAATACTATATAATTTTCATAGGCATAAAAAATAATAATAGTGATAATAATAACAAACAGTCACCTCTTTCCAATCCGGGATTCCACCCTCAGGAACCCAAATAGGATGGTCAAACTTGCAGCTATCTCCAAACTTACAGGTTCTTGTGAGCATATAGTGGGCACAATCCTTCTCTCCGGGCCTCTGAGGATATATAGTCATATTGGAAGCACTTTCATATCTAGGGCGCTTGGCCAGTGAGTTTGTTGAATACCAAGCTTCACTTTGCCCAATTGTACCCAAAATGGTTGAATGGTAGAGAGCTATAGTACATAATAGATGGGTGTATACAAAAAGCCAAAACAAATGTATAATGTTACGTTATAAGTTTAACTAAGAAAATAATTTTCTACAAAAAGAATACGTTAGTAAATATAACGAATATATTTTATATAAAAATGAGATGACTAAAGTTCACTGTGATTGAACAAAAGCTATAAATATACATTTATTGAAATCATATCAAAATAACGTACAAGTATATCAACCGGGTAACAAGACATATTCCTGAAAATACGTAAGTAATAACTATGAGGGCCAATTGAAGTACAAAAAGGTCAACCTGGCCTTCGCCTTGTCAAGTTGTCAGTAAGTAAGAAGTCATGCACTCGTACCAAAAGCAAACCCTAAGACTCTTTTTCTCCCATTAGCTACTAATATCAATTGTTCAAATCAAGTTGCATGCATTCAATAATAACAGAATCTATCTAAGTATATATTAGCTACACCAGCCACTAATCTGCATTATCATTTGAGATTCTGAAAACATAAACTCATAACTAGCCCTGTGCAGGCAGCCAAAATCATGCATAACTAACCAGAGACAATTAAATTTAAACTGCATACTCTGATGGTCAAACCACTAATTAAGAATAATATAGTAAAATACTAAAAACACAGTAGCCAGTACACACCACACTACACAACACAACACAACAAAATGAAGTTATGATGTACATCACATCCTCATCCTCACAACCACTTAACACACCATCTCAAGCATAAAACACCAATTACTAAGCTTATCGTGCTAGAAAACTGAAACCACAAACATGTACTTCAAGAATTACACACAATGAGTGAGATCAAGGTTACCTTATTTTTAAGTAAACAAAAATAAATAAAATTAAGCTTATTTGCTGAGCTTTGTTTGGTTCAACTCAGAGAAATAAACCAAACCTTTATCTCTTGCTGTAAAAACTCTATTTTTTTTTTTTTCATAAAACCAACCCACTCAAACATACACTTATAACCTAAATCCGTAGATTACACATTACAAGAGAGGGCTCAGGAAAATCTGGGTTACTTCAGTTTTAGTTTAACCTAAACTCAATAGCTTAGTCCTGTTGGGTTCAACTTGGAGAAATAATGAACCAGTTAGTTCTAAAATCCAATACATGGAAACACGCACTCGAGCCCTTTAAAAACAAATAGGGACCAAAAAATAAATAACTATAAATAAAAGGGGGAAATGAGCAACCAACCGTCGGAGGAGCGTTTGAGGTCGAGGGTGGAGGCGGCGGGCGTCCAAGGGGAGATGTAGGTGGCAGCTGCGGAGGAGGTGATGCGGGAGGTGACGCCGGGCGGGGCAATGTCATCGGTGAGGGAAGATGGAAAGCGAAGGGCGGTTGATTCGGCGGCGTGGTGGTGGTGGTGGGAAAGAAACATGGCGGTGGGGTCGGGGTCGCGGAATCGGTAGTTGGTGGAAGGGCTGTAGGAGGAGGAGTAGATGTGGTTTTCCATTTTAACCGACACAGAAACGAAAAAAGGATGTTACTGTCAGACACGGGAATAATGTTTGTGTATTTGCTTTGCTCGTAGAATTTGATCCTAATAAGTGATTGAGTGAGTGAGACTGCACTTTGCAGAATGCGTTGGCATACTAATGTTTAGTCGGGGTTTTTAAGGCAGGTTAAAACTCACTGCCCTATCCTTTTTTTTCACTCACTTTCACTATTACTTTTCTCCTTTCTTTTACCCTTCAGTTAGGTCTTCAATCAGAGTCTCACATTGTATACATATTTTCTTTTGCAGTAGATTTATGATTCAATGGAAAACTTAACAACACATTAAAATAATATTTAATCACTAAAATTTATGTTTTATAAATACATATGAATTTAGTTATTTACATTTAACTACTTTGTAGACTAAGTTTATAAATCACAGTATTACATTATAATAGTACAATTTACTTATATTTATTTTTATTTTTTATAATAAATTATTATAAATATTTAAAAAGTTTATATATGTTTGCATTATATATTTTTAATAATAGGTTTAAGTAATGTTATTTAAAGTAGTTTTAGTATTTGAACAGAAATTATAAAAATGTATTTGTCTTTATCAACTAATCTTTTCTTAAATTTTGTTTGAAAAGTAAGATATGTTTGTGTTAAATATTTAATAATATGTTTAAGTTAATGTTATTTAAAGTAATTTTAATATTTAAAAATGAATTATAAAAATGTGTTTGTCTTTTATTAACTAAATTTTCTTAAATTTTATATGGTTTGGTAATTAATATTTGGATTTTTTCTTGTAAATTTAAAATCATCCTAAAGGGATATAATGAAATTTTAATTAATTAAATATATAATAAAATTAATAAGAATTATTCAAATTTTAGATATATAAAAAAATCATAGTACTTATATAAATGTCAATTTGGTATAATTGAATTAAATATCACTATTTTTAATGTAATACTAGAATTAATTTTAATTGCATAAATATGTTAGAAATATACTGTTTTTGTAAGATATTAACATCGGATTTATTATTATGTGAAATATAAAATAGTTATTGATATTTGTTTTAATTTAAATAAGAGAGTTATATATTAATTTTTTTATTGATATAAGTATTTTTTATTTTATAAAAATGATAATAAATTATTTTTTATGAGAGAGAATAATAAACTTTAGTAATTTTATCTTTAAATTTACTGTGTATTGAATAGAATTATATTTTATAAAAAATATGTACATTCTTAAACGAAAATAAAATATTTACCTTATTTTATAATAATATATTATTTTATCTTATTATATTCATTATATATTTTATCTTAATAAAGAAATAGTCTTTTTTTTAATATAATAGTTTCTTTATATATAATATAATATTTAGTTGGATACTTTGATGTGTCACAACTCTCTAGGATTCATAATTTATAATTTTTATACTATTTGATATTTTATTTATTTTTAATTTTTTAAATCTTAAATAAAATAAAATGTACCATCTTTTTTATTTTAAATATTTCTCTTTAATAAATAATAAAATAATTTATATATATATATATATATCACTTTTCTAAATAAAATAAATAATTTTAGAAAATAATTCTTAAATACTAAAATAATTTTTATGAATTTTTAATAATATAAATCATAATAAAATTGTAAAATAATAATGTAAATTAAATAAATAATCATCTTTATCCTAAAATTACACCTAATAAAAACCTTCTTTATAATAAAAATAAACTAAATATAGAAGAATAAAAGTATATATCTTTTATTTATATATATATATATATATATATATATATATATACTTAATTTAAATATGCTCTTATATTTAGATGAATATGATATCATTACATAAAATATATTTGGATTATATGTATAAAAAAACTCAACTAAAACATACTCTCAATATAATTAGTTTTTTATGTTCATTACTTATGTCATAAAAAAAAAAAGTTGTTTTGACATTAGTCAAGTATTGATTCCACAAGTATTTTAATATAAATTTTTTAAAAACAAGATACTAATGCAATGGTAGAAGAATAGTATGAGGAAGAATGTAAGTAAAATAACATTTTAATGAAATTGACATATTTGTGAATTTTTTATAAATGTCCTTGAAAGTTTCTTTTAGATGTAATGTACATTTTTATACAAACAACATCATGTATATTTCTAAAAATATTCAAAATATTCATAAGATGAATCTGGTTGTATACGCTTACTTTTATCACTTGCAACAATATCTGCAATCTTCTTATCCATGGGGAGAACCTTTGCTTTTCTAGCATACATAGAAAAATCTAAAGGTTCTGGTATGATTGGAGGTGTAGCACTTCTAACTAGAGCCCAATTCACTCCATTAAAAAAAGGATGTTGTTTTATTTCTGTTGCACCTCTCTTGTAAGCATATCGTTTCTGAGGCTCTTTCACCAACAATCCTTGTATAAGGTCTCTTGCAACTTTGCTGACAATGGGTTTTTCTGGAAACCTTAAGGGTTGCCCTACAACATTAAAGAGTGTAGCTTTATTTCCTGCACCTTTAAAGGGTGTTATCCCATGCAAAAGCTCGTATAAGAAGATCCCAAAGGTCCACCAATCAACAGCACTACCATGTCCTTCACCACGAATAATCTCTGGTGCAAGATACTCATGTGTTCCTACAAAGGACATAGACCTCACATTTGTAGGTTCTGCCATTAGTTCAGGGAGACATTCTCCATCCATGAGGCCAAAATCTGACTTTGACTTGCGATTCTTTTTTGGCAAAATGCGTGGAAAGAAACTTGAGGCTTGTTTGCAACTATGTATTGCTTGCTCATCATTCAAAATACCCCCAGAAGGACCATTACTACTTTCATGTGCAGATGATGACTTCACAAGTGTAGGATAGACAGAACATCTGAGAGATAAGTCAAAATCTGATAACATTATGTGACCTTCATCTCGAACTAGAACATTTTCTGGTTTTAAGTCTCTATACACAATGCCTAACATGTGCAAGTATTCCAAGGCTAACAAAATTTCTGAACAATAAAACCTGTAGCAGGAAGTAAGACATAGAATTCTTCAATATGATAAAATTTATGTTAGTGCACAATTTAGGTGGTAAGATGTTTGATATGTCGCTTTCTCTTGTGGAGATAAATAAAGGTTGTAATTTGAATTTGTTATAAGAAGTATGTAGAAATACAAGATGACAATAAAGAAATGCAGTAAACAAATTTTGTCTTGAAAAGTTGAAAGAAAAAAAAAAAGGCTTTAACAGGTGACAAAAAAGGAAATCGATATGTTTATATGTCACTCTGGTAAAATCCAAGAACAATGTGTATGTGTGTTTGAGTACTCTTGTGTGATTGAACTAAAATAAAGTCATAGGTAACTAACCGTGTAGCTTCTTCAGTGAAATGCTTGTTAGGTTGCTTGAGTCGAAGAGAATGCAAACTACCACTACTACAAAACTCCATGACCAAACAATAGTATTTATCAGTCTCAAAATAAGAATATAAAGTTGGTAAAAATGGGTGGTCGAGAAGTCCAAGAATCTCTCTTTCTGTTTGTGCTCTCAAAAGCTTGTTTCTACTAGCAAGTGATGCTTTGTCCATTACTTTCATGGCAAAGAATGCCTTAGTTCCTTTAAGTTCCACAAGGTACACATTTCCAATATCACCATATCCAACACGCTTAAGAAGCCTGAAATGACTAAGATTAAGACCATCACCCTTAGAAACCATGTTAATTGCATCCCACCTCACATCACCTCCAGTATGTGGCTTAATATTTACACTAGTAATGCTCTCTAAACTATCACTACGAGAGCTACAACCACTTCTTTTACCTTGGTTGGTGTTTCGTGTAGGTATAGGAAACTCTCTTGTAGTTTCTGGTATTGGTATTACTCCTGGTGAGTTGGTTGAAGGGTTATGATTTGAAGGTATTCTTGCACTTGGACTTGGCTTTTGAGAATCAATGGAATATTCAGATATGTTCTTAAGATTTCTTAACAAGTGAGGTTTAGATCTTGGTTTACCTGTCACCTTTGCATTATTTTTAGAAACTTGGTCTTTTTCTCTTTCTCCACTGGTTGTGTAGTCACTTATGGAGGCATGATTGGTATAATGATTTACTTTTTGAACATGATAATTTTCTAAATTATTTGGTGAATTTGTATAAGACTGATTCATCTTGAGAGTCTCTTCTAGACTATGATTGATCTGCATTTGAAATTCAAGATTTGATTAATTTCCACTAACATCATTACTATTTTGTGGTTAAAAAGTAATGCCTAATCATGTCATATTAAATATGTTTTTTTAGGCTTATTCCTTTCATTATTGCTTATATTTGATATCAAAATATTTTTAAGGAATAACTGTATTATTCATTTTTACCAAAACTTCTATTAGAAAGTTGTACAAATAAGTATTTGTTGCAAAATAAATTTGAACAAAATACACAATTAAAAACCTCTAATATGAATTAAGTAAAATGAGTTAGAATTTCCAGTTCACATAGAGCAAAAAGAAGTTATAAAAATTTTAATTGTATATAAGCATCAAATTGAGGAAGAAACAAAACTCCATTCATAATGGAATGTAAAAAGCATAATTAAATGTGGTCAAAATCAAATACATGTATGATAATATTTATAAATATAGAAACCAAACCGTATATGATGATTGACATGAGTCATGGTATAGAATTATAGATCAACATGATGATAAGAAAAAGAAAGAAAAGTACCCTTTAGAAGAGATGCCAGGAAATTCAAGACAAAACTAAAAGTAAAAAGAATAATATGAACAAGAGAAACAATAATATGTTTCCCCTGCATGTATGTCAACGAAGAGACATGTTTGAATTTTGCAATGTTACAAAAAATGGAAAACAAAGAAACAAAGAGAAGAAAAGAGAAAGTTTCTTTGGTTAGGAATGAAAAAAAGAAATGGATATTCAAAATAGCATGTTCTTGATTAGATCACCATCCATCATCACAACCACTAGGAGTTCTTGAGAGGAATTTGTGGAACAAAAGAGGAAAGATAAGGATAGATCCACAAATAGGATATATATATATATATATATATATATATATATATATATATATAATTGTGTATATAAATAAATAATTAAAATGATGTACTCAAACTAGTGTTTTGTAAGCATATAGTGCTTCAAATGAAAGAAGGAGAGAGAAAGAAAGGAAATGGTCATTACCTTGAAGACGAATGGATAAGCATTTAATTCTCTTGTGAAATAATTGTTTATCTAATTCTCTTCTATTTTTCCCTCATCCCATTTATCATATCAAGTGTTTTCATTCTTTTTACAAAACATGGAGCCATCATGATGATCTCTTACGCTTTTGATGGAATGCCCTTATTGATTAATTTTATTATTATTATTATTATTATTATTGCTTAACATCCTAAATTACTTATTACCAAAAAATTACCTTTTTTTATTGATATTTATCATTAATTAGTTGGTGCTAATTAATGACTTGCATTGCATCCCAAATTGGATATACTTCACCTTGCAAAAGACAAAGTCTTCCTCAAAATCTTGGCAACTTCTTATTTTTCACCAATTTTAGGTTTTACAACCACCTTTCATTTATTATGCATTTATTCTTTCAAACACCATTGTCTATAAGCTACTGTCATGAGTCTTAGAGTAAGTTATTATGTCTGCACTAACATCTTGTTCAATTATAAGTGTCACTGCATGTCACAGTTCCTTAATTTTTGAACAAATAGTAGTAGAAGATAATGAAAGTAACAAGGAGAGGAAAATATTGTTTCTTTCTCAAAGAAAGTGTGTCACATGTGAGAAATACTTATCTTGTTAACATTTTTAATATATGCATGTTAACAATCAAATAGTACAACAACACATGACAAGTACATTGAAAACCACTTAAAGAAAACCCCACACCAAGTTCAAAACACATTATGGGATAACATTCACCAAAGCCAAAAGGTTGGAGAGTAGAAGAAAGATAACAACCCCATAAAGAGAAAAAGAAGAGGAATGTGGTCCAACACTCCCCAATGCAAATATCTCACACAACCTGTTAAAGGGAATAATAGATAACACAAAGCCTAATTGCTCACATGGACTAAAACCAAAAAGCAATTTGACACCACACATCCTTGCCTTTGCCTCACAATTGCACATGCACATGGTCACTGTCCCCTAAACCTCTCACTATTTAATAATACCATCCTAAACCTTCTTCTTCTAATAATCATTTTCTTAAATCATCACTTGAAATTAATTTAACCACACCCAAACTATCATATTCAACTTCACACACCTCATAAAATCATAAAACCATATTTTTTTCTTTCTCTCCCTATCTAATCTAATATGATATTATATACAAAGTAATAGAACTACTATAGTTAGCACATTACATATATATGCTCTTTAGCACACACAATCTTGGTCTTGATCTCTTATGGGTCAATCTCATTTTTCTCAGTTAAAGTTGGAACTATAGAGAGGACTCTGTGGTGCATTGTAAGTGTGTCTATGGCAAGTGATTAAGTGGTCATTGGTAAGTCCAGCTGCTTGCATTAATGAGTGAAGAATTGTTGGACCTACAAACCTAAAGCCTCTTCTGATCATGTCTTTGTTCATGCTCTCTGACTTTGATATCTTCACTGAGATCTTGTAGCCAAACTTGTATTGCATGGAGATGAGTTTGTGATTGACAAAACCCCAAATGTACTTGTCAAATCAACCATAGTCCTTGTTAATCTGCAATGACCCAATTTATGAAGAGATTTTTAAAAATCTATTGCTTGATATATTCACCACATAACTTGTTATAACATAAATTAGTCCAACGTAGTTATACATTTATACTACTTGTTTCTATCTATCTCCTCGAGGAAAAGAGACAAATAATACACAGACACGTAATTTATGTCCAAACCCAATTCTCCTTTCCTACCTGTGAAAAAGATATTTTCTTTTTCTGGTACAATAAACATTTGTTTCAAATTTTAAATAGAATATATTATGGTATAAGTTTATTTTTTTTGTTTATATCCATTTACAAATTATCATATAATAATAATTACATTAAAAGTGATGTCTCACAAGGTTGAAATGGTTTAGAGATTTAACATAGGGATCAATCAATTCATATGGGCCAGATGTTAAAATTTATCACCTAGTGGAACTTATTCATTTGCAAACTTTATTGTCTATGGGTGAGTTGAGAAAAAATAGGTGGAATGAAAAAAAATCATTATTGTACTTCTCATCATTTATATTCATAACTATTATTTTTTTTTTCAAAAATATTTACTTAATTCACACATTTTTGTATTACAAGAAATTTGTCAATTAACTAAAAAAAATTGGTTACAAAAATTATTTTCCACTCATTTGTAACTAATTCACGATGAAATAGTAAAAAAATAAAGTTATAATTAATTTGTAATAAAATAATTAATCTAATATTTTTCTAATTATTCTGTCATTTAGCAAAAAATAATTTAGTTAAAAAATTTGATGTCATTAATCTTTCGTTATGAACAACAGAATAATTAAATAAAAAATTAACAAATTCATTACAAATATCAACTTGAAAAAAAGTACGAAATTATTAAGAAATATTATCTTACAATTTCAACCAAATTTGTTATAGATTTCGTCATATATCCATTACTTATACAAGTCAACTCTATTAATTTTTCTTTTTGAAAAAATTATTTTAAAAAAATACTTGTAATTTTTTTTTAAATTTCACAAAAAATAATTTCAAAATTTTATAAACAAATTATTTGATTTTTTTTACGAATACTATATATATATATATATATATATATATATATATATATATATATATAAAAGGTTTTATAGCATCTCCTCCGTCATAAGACCAAAGCAATAATATATTCCCCAGATCAAAAGAGAAATTAAATGACGAAACAAAATCCAAAACAATGTCGTTTCATCATTGAAAACAAAACAAAAAAACTGGTAGTTTGAGGAGGGTAAGTAAGCGTGTGACACAACCATTATTCTCTCTCTCCGTTTTTTCTTTAATGTGTTTCTCTTTTCCCAATTTTGCCTTCTTCTACCATAACCTACTTCAAGTTGTAGCTACACTCTGCGTTTGTTTGTTTTTCCAATTCCCAATTTCAGTTTTCCAAACCTTTTTAGGGTTTCGCCCAAATGGAAACTTGAGTTGGGAATAAGTTTTGTCTCAGTTGGAAAATTGACAGCAGATCCTTTCAGGGAGATCTATCTCGGTGCGCTCTACTTCCACTTGCTTTTCTCTTTCTACTTATTTACTTTGTTAGGGTTTTTCCGTTTTCATCTATAGTTAAGGATCTTGGTAACCAGTTGGAAGAGAGCGAAACAATTGTTGGTAACAGGAAACAAAAACGCTCTCAATTTTTTTTTATACAATTTCAAATGTGATGTTATAATTATTTATAACTAATATATTTGTTTTTTTATATGTGAAATTTAAATCATAATACCTATTAAATAGGGTTATAATTGATGTATTATACACTTGTAATTAAAACTATTAATATTATTATAAGAATATTAAACGTCAAATTTAAATTTTATAATAAATTTCTCTTTTAAATTTAAATATTCTTTCCATCTCTTATTTCAATAAGTCTTTTATAACTCTAACGAGTGTAGTTGACAGTGGTTTGGTGAATATGTCAGCAGTTTGAGCTCGGCTTTCAACATGTTCTAGCTCAACCTTTCCTTCTTTGACTTATTCTCGGATGAAATGAAATCGAACGTCGATGTGCTTGCTCCTTCCATAATTAATTGGGTTCTTTGCCAACTCGATCGCTGACTTGTTGTCAACTCGAATTATAGTCCTTTCGTCTTGGATCACTCCTAGATGCCTTAGTAAATTTGAAAGTCAAACTGCATGACACACACTCCAAGAGGCCGCCACATACTCAGTCTCACAGGTTGATAGAGTTACAATGAGTTACTTCTTTGACAGCCAAGTAAAAGTTGTTTTTTTGAGTAGGAACACATAACCTGAAGTACTTTTCCAGTCATTAACATTACCACACCAATCACTATCTAAGTAACCCACTAGTCGGTAGTCATCCGATTTTGAATAGAATAGATCAAGTGATAAGGTTCCTCGAACATATCTCAGAATTCTCTTTAAGGTCTTCCAATGTGTGTAACTTGGATTCTCCATGTATCTGCTCGTTATCCCAACACTCAGTATTAGATCGAGTCTTGTGCTTGTAAGGTATCTCAGACTTCCGATTAAGCTTCGATATGTCCCAGAATCAGCTCGTTCTCCTCCATCAAACTTTGAGAGTTTAGTGCCCGATTCCATTGGAGTAGAAACCGGGTTACAATCCTCCATTTTAAATTTCTTTAAAATTTCAAGTGTGTACCTCTTTTGGGATATAAAAATTCCTTCCTCTGACTGCTTCACTTATAGGCCAAGAAAATATTTTATCAGCCCTAAGTCTGTCATTTCGAACTCTTTCTTCATTACCTTCTTGAACTGCTTAATTAGCTTCGTGTTACTTCCAGTGAATATGAGATCGTCGACATAAAGAGCGACTACTATCATATCTTTTTCTGATTTCTTTGTGTACAAAACATGCTCATATGGACATTGTTCATAACCATTTTTCTTGAAATACTAATCAATTCTCTCATTCCAGGCACGAGGAGCCTGCTTCAGCCCATAGAGAGTTTTTCTTAATCTCAGTACCTTTTTCTCATCCCCTCTCTTCATGTACCCGAGTGGTTGCTCAACATACACCTCTTCCTTCAGCATTCCATTTAGAAATGCCGACTTCACATCCATCTGTAGAATCGACCATTGATTCTGAACAACTAATGAGATCAGAAGTCGGATTGACTCCATTCTCGTGATAGGAGCAAATACTTCATCATAGTCAATTCCCTCCTTTTGTTTATAGCCCTTCACCACAAATTGAGCCTTGTAACGTTCAACCTCTCCCTCAACATTTATCTTTTTTTTGTACATCCATTTTACTCCAATGGGTTGAGCTCCTTTAGGAAGGTCAGTCAGTTCCCAAGTTTTGTTGCGTTCAATCGCTCCAATCTCTTCATCCACGACTGTTCTCCACTTCTCATCTTGGACAGCTTTCTCAAAACTCAAGTCTTCAGAGTCAGCCAAAAGACATACAACATGAACTTCATTTGTAGTGTTGTATATTTCCTGCAGACTTCTCATCTTGGGCTGTTGTGACTCTATTTCTTTATATGAGGACTCAATAGTTGTTATTGTTGAAGGCAAAACAATTTCTAAACTAGTTTCTTCTTCTGTCGGGTTACTCCAGCACCAATGCTTTGTTTCTTCCACGTGAACATCTCGGCTTACCACCACTTTATTATTAACAGGATCAAACAATTTATACGCTTTAGATTTTCTATCATACCCGATAAATATGTACTTCTTACTCCGATCTTCTAATTTAGTCCTGTGCTGACTTGGTACTTGCCCATAAGCCATGCTACCAAACACCTTCAGATGAGAGACACTCGGCTTCATACCATTCCATATCTCCTGAGGTGTCTTCTCACCTAGCTTTGCATGTGGACATCTATTTTGCAAATAGACTGCGCACTGCATCGCCTCTGCCCAAAACTTCTTTGGCATATTCTTCCCTTTCAACATAGATCGAACCATATCAAGAATGGTTCAGTTCTTTTGTTCCGCTACACCGTTTTTCTGCGAAGAATATGAGGCAATCAGGAAACGTTTGATCCCATGTTCCTCACAGTATTTGTTGAACTCAGTAGAAGTGAACTCACCTCCTCTGTCAGATCAGATTGCTTTGATGACTTTGCTTGTTTCTTTCTCCACCATAATTTTGAATTTCTTGAAAGTTTCAAACACTTCTGACTTCTCTTTCAGAAAATAAACTCATGTTTTCCTTGAAAAATCATCAATGAAAGAGACAAAATATCTCTTACCACTGAAATATTCTGGAGTTATTGGCCCACACAAATCAATATGGATCACTCCGAGTTGCTGCTTTGCTTGACACTTAGAACTTCTTAGGAAAGAAGTCCTCGCTTGCTTCCCAAATTCTTCACAGAACCTTTTTTCGAATTCCATTTTAGGCAATCCGAGCACCATCTCCTTTTTCACCAGCGCAGTCAAACCACCAAAGTGAAGATGACCAAACCGCAAA